ACCTTAAAAAGTCTAATTTTTGGGAGGGGCATTTGATATTTCAAGACAAATTAACTTTGGCTGAAGACCTTCAGTAGCTTTATCTATAATCAGACAGAAAAATTTCAGACAATATTGGAATGTGTAAAACACAACATTTAATAGGTTTAATACTGCTTCTTTATACACCGCAGCTACCCCCCCCCTTCAATAAATGCCTAGGTCAGCAACTGCAACTATTCTAAAAAGCCTACTACATATACATGTACATCAATATTCAAGATAAAAGTACTGGAATGATTGCATACAAAGCTTGATATGTCAATTTACTTGATGACTAGGGATATTCATTGAGATGAAGCTGAAGAACAAATCATGAAGATAAAGTGTGTGACACAAAGACATCATAAGTAGATTTTTGACCAAGGAGGTTTGTTTAATGTTTATAAATTGACTGATAAAATGGTACCTGCTCAGCCACTCTCATTATGCATTTTGCTATTTCATTGTTTGATATCTTGCAAACAGTGTGTATAAAATTGCAATAAGGCTTGAAGTTCCTTCTGTGCTTCTGTGCATGGATATGATATTCAACTAATACACATGTATTGTATATACAATATGTATTGTATATTGTGAGTGAATATACCATCAACATTACCAGAAAGTGGTTACATGTAGGTCATAATACCTAAAATCAGCTGGCATACCTACATATGTCAAATGTGTTATCTTATCAACACTTTTATAAAAACTAAATATACAAATGTACAAAATGTATGTAATAGCCTTCTTCCAGTTGGACAAGATAGCTGACTAGTTACGTACAATGGTGCCTGCTCTCCTCTGTTCTCACTTGCCCTGAGAACAAGTCTTGTGCAGAAATCTTGTTGAAGCAAGTGCTTGATGACTTCCACTGTTCGCACACAGCTTCATGTTCTGAATGCTTTCCTCAAAGGCGAAGTCTGCCCGGTACTCCTTTAAGTTTATGGCCCTGGAGAAAAATAGAATGTACATATCTATTGTTACTAAGAATTAGCTTCTAAATTCACAAGAATTGTGAAATTAGAAAAAAAAGAATTGTGATGCAATGCATGTATTAATATTCTCAACTTGCCAGTTATCAAATATCATGCACAATTTGTTCAATGTTAAGTATGATCAATGACATTCTATAGTATACAATATCCTTGGTTTGATGTTAAAAGTTTTGATCATAACCAATGTTTAAATTATCCTATACATCATTTCGTGTTGCAGTTACCTCTCGGGTATGAACTTGTAAATGAACTAGAAAGGTAACATTTGCAAGCAAATGCAATATGTTTACCTCAGGATGGTCTTGCCTACGATTTAACGTTATACCTTTATTAGGACAGGAAAGGTAGAAGGATAGTTTGCTTATATTACTGACTTTTATATGCTGTTTATAGAGTAACATCAACGTTATAACTGGGGAATTTGAATGTTTTTGCCGTTGTAAGGCCAAGTGTACCCGTCTGCCACTCAAAGATCATTACCATAGACTAGTCTTGTAGTGCCATGTATAGGAGATACTAGGATATATATAGTTACATACCACAGTACCAATGATTCACTCAGCACACACTCTTACCATGTTTGCAATCAGGCCACAGCATGTAACTTTAATCAATGACATCCTCTGCAGACTGCAAGTAAACTTCGAGTCTTTTTGACAGCTTTAGTTACAAAGGACTTTGCTGCGCTCATCTCACTACCTTATTACATTTTTGTAAATAGGAAACAGGACGTAGGCTGAAATAATAATGATGATAAGTTTATTATTATTACAAATACATGACAGAAGGCTAATTGTAAATACGTATATCATACGAAATGATATACAATGATATGAAGAACTAATTCCTACAGTACACTTTAG